TTTGCCATATTCTCCAATCTCGGTTCACCCAGGCCCTATGTAATTGCCTCATTGTAGCTGGCTCGCTCCATAGTAAAGCAGAAATTTGTCGGAGTGCTCAGTCAGGAATATTGAAATACATGAATGTTTAGCTCTTTGCTTGAGAAATAAAAAAAGGTTACAAAAGACGTTTATTGATTTTACCAACTACTTGTATTCTTCTTCCAACAGCAAGTGTGGTCCGCAGCCACAGCGATTGTCTTTTTGCGTATGTTTTCTTCGTCAGATTATGATGGTATATCATTTTTTTTGAAAGAATTGTTCGTTGCATGGGCCAGTATGCATGCAACATTTATTTGAATCTTATTTTTATTGTGAAGTACCTGGAGCCACCACAGAGAGAGCGCTATAGAAGATGTTTATTTTCATCATTTTTATAAGAGTTCTTTTTGTGGATTTATCGTCCACTTCCAATACTACCAAGCAACTTACTAGGTCGAAGTACTTTGAAGTCTGAACGAAACACTGTGTTTGCTTTTTAAAAATCTTTTAACATTCTGCTTCTTCTTCAGGTGTCAGGCCTGGAGTAGACTTATGCAATCATGGTACCCCACTCCTACCTGGTGTCAGTCTTCCTGATCATTCTATTTTGTCATTGTGTTATTTGTTGCAAAGATGCTCAAACCATCTGGGTGCGTAGCACTCTGTCTTCCTCTGCTCCTCTTTCATTCTGTCTGTCCATACCACAGCCGTTTCATTGGTTCATTTGATCGATTTTTGTGACCAAAGAATCTCAACTATCTCTTTCTGATGGTTCTGGTTTTTATAGATCTTTCACAAAGTGCCATTTGGAACACGTCTGTATTTGCTTTCCTCTCTGTCCGTGAGAGTCTGAGTATTCTCCTTAAATATCCCTTTGGGGGTATCCAGTCTTCTCTCTCTCTCTCTCTCTCTCTCTCTCTCTCTCTCTCTCTTTCTCTCTCCCCCTCTCTCTCTTTCTCTCTCTATCTCTCTCTCTTTCTCTCTCTCTCTCTCTCTCTCTCTCTCTCTCTCTCTCTCTCTCTCTCTCTCTCTCTCTGTGTGCTTGTTTAGAGTCCAGCTCCCGCATCCATACAAAACGGATTGACCACGCGTATGCTTGAAAGTTTCCTATCTTTGGGTGAAAGTGAAGCCTTTCGAAAGGCTGAAAATAGAGACGGATGGAGAAAGGTGGTTGCCCGATCACCTTGGTGCTCCAACGAGCATCTAGACTCAGGGCGGGATAAGTAAAGTAAATAAATATATTTGTGTTAATTGTTATGTTTTATGTTTGTGAGGACAGGTTTCATTTGGTTGAAAGTTTCATCAGGTATTGCAGTTTCAACAATAAATAACAATAATACGTTCGGGCTAAATGCTCGGATTCTAAGGTCATTTTCTCCCACAATATGGAGAGGGGGTGTTCAGATAGCTATACATTTTACAAACACACATATAATAATAAAATAATAATAATGAATTGAATTTATATAGCGCATTTCTGCAAAGAAGTGCTCAATGCGCTGTACAATAATACAAAGAGCAATATGAAGCGCACTGCTCCTATAGTAATCCTCTTTCTCTCTCTCTCTTTCTCTCACTAGTATCTCTCTCCCTCCCTCCCTCCCTCTCTCTCTCTCTCTCTCTCTCTCTCTCTCTCTCTCTCTCTCTCTCTCTCTCTCTCTCTCTCCAGTACATCTTTGAGTTAAGACAATCCCACAAGGCTTACCCAGACACCCTCGCACACATTGATGAATTCACACAGTCATAAATTCTTACAGAAACAGAACAGCATGAATAAACGATACTGAGAGAACATAATAGATACTGAGAGAACATAATAATATGATTTGTCTATAATATATAATATTATGATCAGGTTACAAAAAGACTTGTTAATAAGCTTATTTTACAGACAATGTTGTCTATCTCACCAGTAATAAATAAGCACAACGTTAAGCTAGCGTATTAAATGAATCCCCCCCCCCCCCCCAATTTTTTTGTAATGGTGTTGACAGATTTCTTAGAAATGTTTCTATTAAAAGCAGATGAACAAATAAGGGACTATCAGAAAACGTGCTCATCTTTTTCTTTAGTTCTGAAAGACAATACTGATTAAAGTCTGGAATAAATCCTGGTTATTATGGCTGATGACACTTTCTGTAAAGCAATATACTACAGACTGTGTGTTCTTATAGCGTTTACGTCTAATAAAGTAAGCCAGTACAACAACATGCTATCCTCATGAAAGACAGAATGTCACCTTGGTTTAGGTAAGCTTTGTTATAACACCATTTTGGTGAGAAAAAAATAACTACCAGAAACAACAATATAATCTGATCAGAAACACTTGTTAAACAAACAGAAAAACACTGCAAAAAATAGATACAAAGAGATAGACAATCAGACACACCAAACTGACAAGTAAAAAATTTTTAATTAAAAAAATTATTATTAAACAATATTAAGTTTTCTTCTACATTTATTTATCTAGATAATGCTACTATGTATGGGCAAACTAGAAAAAAAGTTTTAAAGACATTCTTTTAAGCTCCATTCACTTTTGTGTTGTGAGGATACTAAAGTTGGAAAAGGGCCTCTTTCAACCTTACAAAAACATATAAAATGGTCATTTAAAAATGTATTCATATTAACTATAACTGGAGTGCATCAAAATACTATAAACATAATAATAATATTATGTTAAATCAAGAATCCATAACATAACAAATCATACCATTCTGCATTTGCAGACTTCGTGGTGCTTGTAAGTAGCATTACATTACACTTGAAGAATAAGACTTTTTGTATAAACAAAAGCCCCACTTAGTTGCCTTCTCCCCCCACCCACACCCCCGCCTCCACCCCCACCCCGACCCCCATCCCAAAACACAAACACACACACACACACACACGCGCGCGCACGTGCACATACACGCAGAGAGAGAGAGAGAGAGAGAGAGAGAGAGAGAGAGAGAGAGAGAGAGAGAGAGAGAGAGAAAGAGAGAGAGACTTACTTGTTCCCGTTGCTGCCCTCCCGAATCTGAGTTCTCTCAAATTTTCGACACCGCCCCCCCCCCTCCTCCCCGCAGTTTAATTTGCCCCTCCACCCAATAATACCCCCCCCCCCCGCCCAATAGGACTTCATCCCCAAAAGTAAACGCACTACCACCCTCCCCCCCCCCAAGCCACCCCCTCCCTAAATTTAGAATTCCCTCTCCAAATAGGTAGCCCCCCCCCCCCCCGGCAAAAGAAAAATAAAATAATTAAGGGATGAATAAACACATTTTCAGAAAACAAATTAATAAATACATAAATAAATAAAAATCAAATGCTATAATAATAATAATAATGATCCATTAAAATGGTAATTATAAAAATTATAACAATAATCTTATTATAATGGAGCTGAGCCTGTTTGTGAGGGCAATATATATTTTTTACACAAGTGCCTATAAAACATACAATAATATGATTCAGATAAGAATTGTCACAAAGGGTTACGAGGGCATATTTTCAAAGTTCGGAAACTACCTTCTGATTTTTGAGGTTTGTTTGTTTCTCCTGTAAATCGAAGCTCTCAGAAGTTTTCACTCTGCCATTAGCCATTTCAGATTTTACTGGGGACTACTTCCGTTTCAGTTTGCACTTCATCGTGTGTGTGAGACATCTGCTTTTACTATTTGCAGATCTAGAATCTCGATATCCAACTCTGTTAGGATGTGTGTGCTTCGAAATGTCGATGGATACTTCATGGCCAACTCCATTGTATTGACTTTTTCTAGATACATTTAGTGTAGTCATGTCCCCAACACGTTCAGTTCGTTTAAACACACAAAATGTTTACTACGTTGTACTGACGTTTTCAAAATTTGGCGCGTATTTGGTGCGTAGTTTTTAAAAAGATATAAAGCAATACTCTTTATCTAGATCACTCTGTGTCCTAGATGTGTTTGGAGAACAGCAGAATTCAAGACTGATTCGGGCAGTTAGCAGGAACACAAGTGCGATTTGTACTTTGTCGTGTGTGTGCCACAGAGTTCTACTTCGTGTTTATAAAGCTGCTTCTACTATTTCCAGATCTAAAATCTCGATACCGTACCAAACTCTTGATGTGTGCGTCGCAGTGTAGATGGGTACCTCTGGTCAAACGTAGTGATGTCCCCAACACGAAGAATTCGTTCAAACCCATAAAATCTTCTCATCGCTCTATTGACGTTTTCAAAATTTGGAGCGTGCTTTTAATAGAGTAAGGCTCTAGTTCTCTATTCTAGACATAATTTGGAGCACAGAATTCAAGATCATTCATAATTTTAATACAATAAAGAGGAACACATTTTATAGTCTTCAGTCTCCTCAATGCATATATATTTTCCGGTTCATAGAGATGGGATCATGCTTATTATAATAATCAATTTAAAATTAATTAATAAATAAATATATCCAGATATCCCCTCCCCTCCCCCCACCCCACCCGTTGGAATCCCGTCCTGTAATCTGCGGTCTCCTTGACATGCGTCCGCGCGTGGTTTGACTCATCGTGGGTGAGCGCTCCACTTGCCCCCGTAGACTGGGATCAGCCTGTCCGATGAGCTAGGGTGAGTGAGAGGGAGAGAAGGGGAGGGAGGGAGGGAGAGAGAGAGAGAGAGAGAGAGAGAGAGAGAGAGAGAGAGAGAGAGCGGGAGAGAGAGAGAGAGAAGGGGGAGAGAGACAGGGACGGAGGTTGGGATAGAGAGGGAGAGAGACTGGAGGGGGATGTGGTGGAGCAGGGGGCTAAAGCTAGAGGTGATAGCTCGGGGAAAAGAGAGAGGAAAAGGGGAGTAGAATAGAGAAATAGAGAGAGGTGGGCACGGAGGGAGTGAGTGAGAGAGAGAGAGTGAGAGAGTGAGAGAGAGAGAGAGGTAGAAAGAGAAATAGACAGAGAGATAGACAGAGAGATAGACAGAGAGATAGACAGAGAGTGCGTGTGTGTGGAAGAGGGAGACCGAAAGAGAGAGAGAAGGGGGAAGAAGGGAAGGGAGAGGGTGTGGAAACTAGTCGTGGGCACTTATGAGGGGAGAGAGAAAATTAGTAAGAGGGAAGAAGAGAGAGCGATCACTTGTGACCGCTCTTCTCACGCCAAGTCTTGGACAAAAGGATTATGAGTCGGTCTTCCCAGTCATTATTTCAGATAAACATTTGGGAAGTATAAGCATTCAGGGTGAGTGGTTCTTCCTTTTTTTTAGGATACCAAATCTTATGAAAATTATTTAGATGCGTCCCTGTGTGAGTGAGTGGGACAACATCGTCATGCATGTGCGTGGGAGAAAGTGGACTATCGCATTTTTTCCCGATTATCTTTACGTTCTTTGTTTAGTTGGTAATGTTACCCTCTGCATGTGATTTAGCTTCTAGAATCTTAAGTGATTCCTTTGAAACAAATTTAAAACAAACACAGTAGATCGATATCGATGGTCATCTCCGTTTGTTTTGTTGAACTACACTTAGGCTAAATTCATAGTAATATGTAAAATGCTTTCCGGGAGACGGCGGGAGGGGGGGGGGGGGGGGAGCACATGGCGTATATTCAGGTACGAGGCAAAAGGGGAAAATAATGAAGGTTGCGGAAATTTTCTAGTGATTTAAAAAGAAGTTTCGTGAATCTGTATTGTACACAGATATCATATGTTCCAAATATACATTATCATATGATTCCCAGCTTAAGATAGGCTTATACGGTATGTTTTGGATATGTTGTTATGAACAGCACTATTTTCCTAAAAGTCTGATTAAATGATTAAATATGTTTTGTTCGCAAGGTGATTCTAAAATGTGTTCTCTATTTCAGTCTCCACTCAATTTCTAAGGCCCAACCTCAACCCCCAGCCGCTTTCCCAACTAACAACTGCCCCTAGAAATCTGTTTTGTGTATCTATCACGACGACTGATTCGCGATTGTAACATCGTAGTATTTACCGATATTTGAATGTTACTTTACTTTGCTCTGGGATTTTTTTTCTGCATATCCTTGTTGCTATTTCTCAGAACTAGAACCCCATTGTTATGCCGATGTGCTTCTTTATATTCACAATAACACAACAAAATCAGTAGTTCATTATTCATTACCCTTCAACGCATCGTCTTCTATAACAGTGTGTCCCCATGTCCCCTTTCGAGAATGGCGTGAGTAACAGTGACGTCATACCCCTAAGACCTGCACGATTGCTGACTCCTGAACTTGGACCATATCTTTGCACCTGGGTTTTCTTACGCTTTGTATTCTTTTTCCTTTCAATTGGGGTTGAAATTTGTAGTTCATTATCAATTTTCAATAGGCCTCTAATTTCTCTTCCACTAATAAGAATGTACATTTCGGAGCATGGCTTCTAACAGCCTTTCTGAAACATAATATTATTGTTCTGTCCCACGCCAAGTGTGTGAACGACCCATGTGACACTATGCTACCTCAGATTTACAAAGTTCTATCTGACAGTTTGGGCAGTTTTGAGTCACTTCGATTAGAAGGTCAGAAACCGATCGTTCTATCTGCTCGATCAAAATCGTAAGATTGTTCGGAGTCGTATCATTAATTCCTACCAAACTGAAAATATTTAAAATGCACCGCGTATGCCCCATGGCCTAATGTAGTTGTGAGCGCTGCAAAACACTTACTAAAACAAAAAAAGAGTCGTTATCACGATACTCAAAGAATTGCATTAAAAAAAGCTTGACATGTTGTGAAACTCAAAATCTTTGACGGCAAATTGCTCAAAATCATATACTGAGGAGATAGAACTTTGTAATTCTAAGGTAGCAAATTGTCTCCAGCGGTTCAGGAATATCTTTAATCTCCCCTTTTAGAAACATTTCCTTCTGAAATATCTTTTTCCCTACTGTTATTTGAACCAAAATACTTGATTGTTCCTAATTTTGGTTATCCCAATGTATCTTTATGTTGCGAATTTTTGTCCTGATTAAGACGTTTATCTACTCCTTCCAAAATATCTTTTTATCAGACTGTTATGTTCCTTTATTTGAACCAAAGTTCCTCATCCTTGCTTATTCTGGTTGTCATTCGGAGTCTTCTCTCTTAAGTGTTATTTTCATTTCCAAATTGAGACATAATTCATTGTAATGCTCAGAGCCCAACCCTTAATAGCACTTTAGCCCAAACGCGTTCATTGACATTTCTACTGTTCTTCTTTAATGTTCATTATTCTCATGCGTATGTAGCGTTCGAGAATATGATGTGCCGGAGAATCTTGAGGTTGTTTCTTTGTTCTGTGGGCTAACACGCGTCGTTGACTAGATTCAGTTTTGCACAGGCTTGAGAAGACGTCTGTATTTTTTATTTATTTGCTCCTCCACCCCACCCCCCACCCCTCTTTCCTCCCTCCCCAGGCTCCACCTCCAACACATCGTGAAGTTTATTCCCAGAGTCAAACGATTCTATAATATGTTGGGGTTTTTTGTTTAATGTACTTATAAATTTAATGGCTTGTTTGAGACCCTTCAGAGCTGGCTGTTGAAAGCAGAATTATGACATTTGAATTTTAGGTAAAGAAGATCTACCGTCTTGTTTGATTTTTTTTCAATGAAGGATTAATATATTATATCTATATTATCTTATCTTATTTATCTTATCTTAGCTCAATATCTGGCTTGATAATAATGCAACCATTACCCCGACACCTCCGTGCTCTCTTTCACGGAAGTGGTTATTCTCACCAGGGGTGAGAATAGCCAATCGGCCTATGTCTCAGGTGTGCTAACATACAGTAGGCCTATTATAAGTCTATAGCACAGACAAACACAGAACAGCACAGAGAATAACTCATAAATTGTAGAGATACGTTTTCAGGTCTAATGGGCTGGTTGAAGGTCATTTCACACCATGAACAGCAAACAACGGTGAAAAAAAAAACCACACACACAAAAAAACAACAAACCGAGCTAGATATTTAGATCTAGATATATGGTTATGCAAGGACAAGATGTCAAGAGCAGAATGCATCTGATACCTGCTTGTCCTCATAATAATAGATCTACATCTAGAAATCTAGATCTAGATCTAGCCTAATTTTAAGAATTTTACAGAACTAGGCTCGCCTCATGCTCACACTGAGGTGGGGATGAGAACAGCGGGTCATGAGCTATTCTCACCAGTGGTGAGAATAAAGGTGGCCCTCTTTCCCCACGACCCTTTGATATTATATCAATCACCTTATTCTTCCAAGGTGAGAGCCATGTCTTTTCAAGTCAACACAGAGTACACAATTCATTCACTGCTAAAAGAAAGGCTATTTCATAAAGAAATACAGTGTTATTCGAGTAAAGAGAAATGGATCCGCATGACAACGGTAGGGAAAAAGTTAAAAAGGAAGACGGAAACAACATAAGGAGAGAATATAGAGAGCAGGACCTACATGTGGAACACTCCAGCTACAACAGGGAGGCAAGATTCCAGCAGTAATAACCTTGGACACACACACAGAGCAATCGGTAGTACATAGCCTTTGGACGAAGGCTTCCACTCTGGTGTACTTTCAGAAGATAATGTTCCTTGGGAGTTTTCTTTTTATGTAACTCTTAACTTCCAGAATACCAAACGTCGCACTACGAAAATAAATGATCACCGAGTAAACGCTGAAACCTACTTGTTGTAATACTGTCTTAAAATAAGGGCTTTTCCAAAAGCTTCCTGTAAGATCTAAGAGGTAGCTATTGCTACCAAAAGACGAAAAATAATAGTAATCTATAAAAAGGAACAAGTAAGGAGAGATTCCTCATTTTCCAGGCCCTTTTTATACATTTGTCTTTCAGAGACGGTATTCACAAGAATTCATTCACGTCTCTCGTATCAGCTGATATAGAGCCGAGTCAGAACATCCGACAGTAACTATTACAGAGCTCAGACAAAAACGTCTCGTTCAAATAAATGCTGTACTTTTGCCAATTTCATTAGGATGATATTCGTCAGCTTTTTCTAAATTGGTTATAGAAAATATTCTTTAAAAAAAAAATAGAACAACCAAATTGCGATACCACTTTTACGCTTAAGAGTCTCCTCTTTTCCTTCCTCTTCTCCTTCAAGTCTGAGATCTTGAGCAGACATCAACAATTATGGTTCTCTTCTCATGTCTCTACTCGGATGCTCTCTAAACAACAACTATTGAACTTGTCTCTTCCCGTCACCCATCAGTTCAATTTTATAGGTAAATTGTTTTTGGTCTTCCACGGGGTCATTTGACTTGTGTGCTTTTCCTGTTAGAGCAAAGTGTTTCAAGCTTTTACATCTATTCAATTTTTAAAAAAAATATAGATCTACCTTTTCAGACCTGGCACAATAAATGACACACTGTTACCATGCACGCTACAGCAGTGACGTTGCTGAAATGGCAGGCAGTTGTACTAATAGTCATTTTAATAATAATGATCACAACAATAGTAACAATAATACTTTTTAAAGCTTTTTTCTTTAAAGAGTTTCACCTTATCTGGCGAATACATGATTAAAGTGAGACAATGAAGATACGCGTTTTGTGCATACCCTTTTTTGTATTGAAAAAAAAGAAACCGGGAGTGAGGTACTTTGGACCGATCAGGAAATGTTATCTTCTTTAAAACAAAACATTCTCATAGAATAACATTGCCTCCCCCCCCCCCTCCTTTCTTCCCATTTTAAGGTGGAAAGAAAACTTTACTTACTTTTTTACTTTTATCCACCCCTTATACCCTTTTGGATGTCGCGGGAAGAAAGAGACGACTCTTTGTCGGAAGCCGGAGAGCTTGGATCAGGGGGATGCCGTGGGTGGTTAATGTTTCCCTGACTCCATCTATCCAGGTCTTTCTCGGTCGCCCTCTAGCCTTGTCGCCATCGAAATTTTTGAAGTAGGCACGTTGTGCTGGGTGGTGTGTTGGTTATCGCATGAGATGTCCAAATCGTTTGATTCTTTGGTGTTGGATGTGATGCATGACATCAATTGCGCCCACCATTTCTCTGATTACTGTGGTTCTAATTTTGTCTCGCCTGGTCTTGTTTACCACATCAGTGATATGAAGTCAAGGTTATCTTCGCCAGCGAAGGGCGAATAGTAGCAGTTGTAGTTTGTTTTTGTTTTCTACTACTACTACTACTACTACTACTACTACTACTACTACTACTACTACTACTACTACTACTACTACTACTACTACTACTACTACTACAATTGCTGCTGC